GTCTTCAGGCCGGGTGGGCGCGCGTGACGTCACCCTAAAAGACAGCCGTCCAATCCGGAGGGGGCCTGCCGGGCACGTGGGCTCGGGATCTCCGGTTAAAATAAATAAATAATTTTTTTCTTTAAAAAAAAAAACCAAAAAAAAAAAAACCAGGGGAAAGATTAGAGGAGGCGGAGAAGGGAAAGAAAGAAAGAAATTGCGAAGGAAAGTCGGAGAGCCGGGCAACGTGTGGCCGCGTCCGGAGCTGTCCTTGGTGCTGAAACGGCGCGCCCGAGGCTGTTTCGCCACGGAATCTTCCCCCCCAAGCGGTAGCTCCCGAAAGGATCCCGCAGGATCATGGGAGGAGACGACGTGGAGATCCCCCTCGTCCGCTACTTTGAGCGTTTTCAAAGGTGCTGATCATTCTCCCTGGTCTTCTGCATTAAGGGGACTTGGGAATTTTGATGTCCGGGGCTATTGGGAGGGGGGGGGGAAAGATTCATTCGGATCGCGTAACTGTCCATAGTTCTGGAAAAAAAAACCCAACCCAACCTCCAACTTCCTTCCAGAGTGTCTAAAATCTTTCCTCCCTTTCCTCTTTTTTTTCCTTTTTCTTTTTTTTTCTTTTCCTGCTCATCACATCTCGCTCTCCATCTTCCCATCTGTTGGGATTGGGTTTCTTTCCCCCCCCGTTGGGCTGGCTGCAAAAGTTTCCTTTGGTCTCTGTCTTTCATGCTGGTTTCGGAACGCCAGAAAGATCGGGTCCGATTTGATTTCGCCTTTGGTTGCAATCAAGATCGGACGGTCCGATCTGAGGTCGCCTTTTGATTTAGAGAGCTGGGCGGCCGGGGGAGGGGGGGATTCAGGACCGGTGATCTGCAGCGGGACGATTCGCAGCCGACGAAAGCTCGCAGTGTTTACGGGAAGAGCCGGCTCCATTGAACTCGATGGGATCTACCCTCCCAGTGAGCAGAAACGGACAGACAGCCCGTCCGAACAGCTTGAGTGGTTTTTAGATTCATTTCCTTAGCCTTGGAAGAGAGTAAACGCCGCCGTTTGAACCCCGGTGGGCTTCCTTTGGAGTAAGTCAATAGCTGTGTAGCTACGGGTGGCATTTAAGGCACGCTTTAATTGCAGATAAAGTTGAATCCAAGGGATCTGTTCTTTCTATTCTTTTTTTTTTTTATAAAGCTGTCCCGTTAATGTTTAGTGCCAACTCGATTCAGATCCTTCCCCTTTCCCCTGGCCTGTTGACATTTTTCCTTCTCTCTTTTTTTTTTCTCTTCCCGCTGCAGCCAATTTGGACGCTGATCGCCCCCTCCTCCCCCAGCCCACCACCCCCCGCACAAAAGTCGGGACCTTGGATGTTAAATGCGGGCCAGGAATTGTCTTTAACGCGGTGCGGCGTGCCTCCTTCGGCTGCTTCCTCTCCTTCTCTCCCCCTCCCCAAACCCCAATAACCTCGGCGGGTCAATGTCTTCCTGAAAGAAAGCATGGAGAACGCCAACGGATTTGGGATCGACTCCCTCCTCTCCCATCGATCCGGGAGCCCAGCCGTGCCCAAAGGGGATCCACTGCTGGGAGAAACCAGATCCCCTCTGGAACTTAGCCCTCGCTCCTCGGAACTCAGCAACGGCTGCCTGTCTCCTCCATCCCCCCGGAGGGACTGCTTGGAAGCGGCAGCCCAGTTACCCGTCGGCGGAGGGGGGGTGAGGCTGGAGCCTCACCTGCCGGGCCCCCCCATTTCAGCCGCCTCTGCTCAATCCAGAACGGTCACCTCCTCGTTCCTCATTAGGGACATTTTGGCGGACTGCAAGCCCTTGGCGGCCTGCGCCCCTTATTCCAGCAGCCACGGGCAGGGCGCGCAGGAGGCGCCCATGTCCGTCCCAGCCAAGGCCAGCAGCGAGGACTTTCGGGAGAAAATCGAAAAAAGTAGCAGCAACTCTTCCTTGGATTCGGAATACAGAGGTAAGACGGAAAGGGAATTGCAAAAGCGTGCTTGGTTTGCAAAGGGGAGCGGGAAAACCAGACTAAACTTCCTAAAGAGACTTTCAAATGGGCGAGCCCCTTCCCTTCCCCCCCTTTTTTTGGGTTTGTTTAGAAAAGTCACCAGCGAGGGACTGTTTAGTTCTTTTTAATCATTCTATAAAGTCACCCAAATTTGAAACGGGAGAAACTAAAATCTCTTGAGCTTCTTCTAATCACCCCTTCCCTGGCTGGTGGGCTGATCCCCCCCCCCTCTGATCCTCCAACCCATATCGGCTTAATTTCCTGACTTATATTAATAATACTAATACTAATAACAAGATCGCGTGAAGTGTTAGTACCACTTTATAGTGCTTTGGTAAGGCCACACTTGGAATACTGCGTCCAGTTTTGGTCGCCAGGATGTAAAAAAAAGATGCTGAGACTCTAGAAAGAGTGCAGAGAAGAGCAACAAAGATGGTTAGGGGACTGGAGGCTAAAACATAAGAAGATGTTGCAGGAGTTGGGTATGTCTTGTTTAATGAAAAGAAGGACGAGGGGTGACATGATAGCCGTGTCCCAGTATTTGAAGGGCTGACACAAGGAAGAGGGGGGTCACCCTCTTCTCCAAAGCACCAGAAGGCAGGACAAGAAGCAAAGGATGGAAACTCATCAAGGAGAGAAGCAACCTAGAACTAAGGAGAAATTTCCTGACAGTGAGGACAATTAATCAGTGGAACGACTGTCTTCCAGAAGTTCTGGGTGCTTCAACACTGAAGGTTTTTAAGAAGAGGTTGGACGCCTCTTTATCTGAAATGGTGTAGGGTTCCCTGCTTGAGCAGAGGGTTGAATAACAATTCTGTTATTCCCTTAAACAAATAACAAGGAAAGGAAGCAAGCCAAGTTTTTCCTTGTGATTTTTGGACTATTAGGAGCGATCAGAATGGAGAGAGAATTTGGATGGTTCAACTAGTTTGACTTGGTTGGGGATCAGGTTGGGGATCACGGCAGTATTGGGACATTTCCTCAGCATTGGGGTAAGGGTGTAATTAACCCTTAATTACCAATGCAGTCAATACTGTATGGCAACAACAGAATTGTCACTATCCTCATTTTCAGTCATGGTTCCTAAGAAAAATCAGGATCTTGGAAAGACAGAAGCAAGGAGAGAATCCAACATCTGCTTAGGTGTCCCCACGTTTTCCCAAATGGAAAGCTGGATTAAATTCAGCCCCCTTCCCATTTAATTCTGTCCCAGATTCCTGGTATGTTTTGCTATTAAAGCGCTAGCCCGTTGAGGCAGGTTTTAGATTGTCTTGAAAAGAAAGAGAAATATTGGGAAATGCGCACCAACAAAAATGAAAGGGGAGATTTTCAGAATAAAAGATTGTCCTTGGAGAGCGATTTGATGTAAGTGTGAGGCTGGCTGTGTAGGACATAAAAACATCTTTCTGGGTATTTCCAAATAGGGGGAAAGTAAATGACTTGGAACAATTATTTTTTTCCTCCTTTAATAAGTTAGCCAGTGTGTAATTTCTCCCTAGAATGCTTCTTAACTTTCACACATCTATTTTTGTTTCTTTTTCTTACCACCAAGTCAATATTGCCTGGCCTCCTAGATTTTATTTTAGCAGAGCGAATGTGCCCCACTCAGCCATCAGTCTACTCCGGGTTTTACTGGAAGGAGACAGAAAGTCGTAATTCCTGTTTCCTTCTTTGTCTTGGAAGAGTTTTTGATTCTGAGCAGAAGTGGTCCAATTATTCCCCATTGTCATTTTTAGTTCATTCGCATCTAGTTAATTTACTTCTTTTTCTGTCCTGCAAGGGGTTAGGAACTAAACCCTCCTAGCATAGTGCAAACGGGACTTGATATTTGTGAAAGAAGCTGGAAATAAAGGCATTTAGAGGAGAAAATAATTGTATTTTTATTTCTGGAGACTTGAGAAGACAAGACAGATTTTAATGCTTTTCCAAACTTGGAGATGTTTCATTTTTTTCCCTAAAAAACGTTTTCAAAGATTGCTCTCCTTAAGATTGTTTGCGCCAATGGATATAATATTTAATTTTTTTAGAAGGAAAATTCCCTGCCAATGTTTGGAAAGAGGGGGAAGGAAGGAAGGAAGGAAGGAAGGAAGGAAGGAAGGAAGGAAGGAAGGAAAGAAAGAAAGAAAGAAAGAAAGAGGAAAAGAAAGAAAGAAGAAAGGGAGGAAAGAAAAAGAAATGGAAGGAAGGAAGGAAAGAAAGAAAGAAAGAAAGAGAGGAAAAGAAAGAAAGAAGAAAGGGAGGAAAGAAAAAGAAGTGGAAGGAAGGAAGGAAGGAAGGAAGGAAGGAAGGAAGGAAGGAAGGAAGGAAGGAAGGAAGGAAGGAAATCCCTGCTAGTTTACCTCTTAAGCATTCCCACGGATTTCAAACCTGAGTTTGAATATGCTTACTGGGAAGTAACTCCTAGACAGAGTCTACTCTCATTCATTTTTTAAAGAGGAAAAAAAAACCTGCTTTGCATGGGAAAATCAATGAAATCAAAAGACAGAGTGGGAATAATTAACCAGGCTATAAAACTCTCCTTGAGCTTCAATCTAGAGGTGATGAGCAGAGAGTCGTGGCCAGATCTTAAGCAGGGGAGCAATTTTGCTAACTCTGCAGCTATGTGTGGCAAGCTTCATTCAGCGCCCGGCTTTTACGCGTGATTGCAGATGGGAGTATAATGGTCTTTTGCTCAGGATTTTTGCTTCTTTTCCAGGAGACTCTGGTGGTTTCCCCAAGACTCTAATCTTATTTCTTTTTTTTTTTCTTTTGACCTTTGCGTGTCCCCCACCCCTAGGCAGAAGTTGGGCTGTGATTAGTGGCTCCCTTCGCACAATCTCTTACGCGCAAGTTTCCCCGTTTAAATCTAAACTTTGGTGTTTTCTCTAAAACAAGGCGGGCACCCTAAAAGCTGAAATTTCTCATCCAAACTCAAAAAAACCCGAGGCTTTAGTTTCTTCGGCAAGTGTTTACCAGTCCTTGAAAGATTGGAAAGGGAGAAAGGGAAGATTGAAAAATACTGAAAAGGAAGGATGGAAAGGAAGGGACGCCCCCTTAAACTTCCTCTCCCTCTCGCTTCCTCCTGGCTGCCCGATTCAAAATCCAAGCAGGGGTCTGAAGATAAAGTAAAATATTATTCCTCTCCACACACACACCCAAAAACCCCTCTGAACTGGGAGCGAACATGAAGAGATTCTCAAAAGCTTGGGCAGATTTTTTTTTTTTAAAACCTTGCTTGCGAGTAAACATCTCCTGGAGGATGCTAAGACCTCAAAATTTCAAATCTCAAAACTTCTCCCTAAAGGAAGGCAGATTTTTCCCTCCCCAGGGGAAAAAAAATCTCAACAAGGATGGGTTCCTTTCTCTGCTTTTTGAAGGGGGAACTGGCTTTCCCTTCGGCTCAGGGCTCCCATCGCCACCAATATTGAAAAGAGAGGAGGGGAGGCCTCCGAAACGAATCCCCAGTGCCCACTTTTTTTGTGTGTATTACCTAGGCTCATTTCCTGAATATTTCTCCCGAAGACAAGAGCTGATGGATCGTGGCCCCCAGACCAATCTTAGCTTCCTTGGTGCTACCCGTATTTGGGCATAGTCAATCTCATTTTCCATTCTTTTTGCTCTGCTCAGCTCTGCCTTCCTTCTTCTTCTCTCCCCCTGCCTCTCTCTTTAAAAAAAAACACAACTTTTCTGTGTTTTAATCTCCTTAATCTCTTTCCTTCTTTTTTTAGGGGAGTTTCTTTCCATTTAATTTCTCCTATTTCCTTCCTTCTTTCCTTCCCAAATCTCTTTTTTTCCCCTTTTCTCCCCTTCTTATTCTTTTCCTCCTTCTCTCTCCATCCTTCCTTCCTTCCTTCCTATTTTATCATCCCCTTTTCTCCTATTTTCTCCCTCCTCCTTCCTTTGTTTTTCTCCTTCCACCTCTTCTTCCCTAATGTGCAGATTCTCTTTTCTTCATTTTCTCCCTTTCTCCTTTTCTGCTTTCCTTCCTAATTTACCAATTCTTTTTTTATGTTTTCTCCCTTTGTCTTCCTCTCCTTCCTTCCTTCTCTCCTTCCTTCCTTCCTTCCTTCTTTCCTCCTCTTTCTCCCCTACTGCCTATCGCTATGCAGGACTCACCCTCCCCCCTTCCTTCTCCTGAATCTGCATGGTCTCATTACGACCCTTTGAAACCCAGATTCCAACTTTTCAGGCTTAGCCTTTTACATATAGCTTTCCAAGATACATTCCTTCCTTCCCTCCCTCCCTCCCTCCCTCCGTCTCTCTCTCATTGTTATTCATTCTTAGGGCTGCCTTTTATCTGTAAATCAGATTTCTGATTCTCTTCTTCTAAATCTCTGCCAGGATTTCAAGCTTCTAGTTCTAGCCCTCAAAAATCCTAGATTTGAGATGATAGCTAGCTAGATAGATAGCTAGATAGATAGCTAGGTAGGTAGGTAGATAGATAGACAGACAGACAGACAGACAGACAGACAGACAGACAGATAGGTAGATAGGTAGGTAGGTAGGTAGATAGATAGACAGACAGACAGACAGACAGACAGACAGACAGACAGGCAGGCAGGCAGGCAGGCAGGCAGGCAGGCAGGTAGCTAGGTAGGTAGGTAGGTAGATAGATAGATAGATAGATAGATAGATAGATAGATAGATAGATTAGATAGATAGATAGATAGATAGATAGATAGATAGATAGATAGATAGATAGATAGATAGATAGATAGATAGATAGATAGATAGATAGATAGATAGATAGATAGATAGATAGATAGATAGATAGATAGATAGATAGATAGATAGATAGATAGATAGATAGATAGATGCTTGCTTCCCTGTAGCATCTCATGTTTAAGAGATCTTCAGGGCTGCGTTTCTGCTGGAAGAGTTTTTTCACCTCCCTCGTGGCTCAATTAAGTGGATTATTGTCTTCCTACGGAGAGAAATCAACTTGCTTGTCTTCTCTAAAACCTGCCACAAGGATGTTTGAGCATAAAGCCCCTTGTCACCCCCCTCACCCAGCTGATGTAAAGCGAAGAGGCTGCGTTCAAGAGAGTCTGCCTTCGCACAAATAAGCCCACTCTCTCTTAAGGCAGAGAGACAACGGATGAGGGGAAACCGTACACACCCAAACACGCAAGAGACAACGGAGTTGAGTTAATCATCCTCCTTGCAACCCGGGACTTGCCAATCATCCAGCCGGTTGGTGTCCACGGTCCAAACCGGATGAAAGGAAAGCGGTTTCTATCGCCAAGTGGCAAAAACTTTGCAACAGGGAGGAAAGTGTGAACTCCAAAAGGAGAAGGAGGATTCTGAGAAGACAAAGAAAGGCGAGAGGCCGGATCTCCTCCCGTTTCCACATATCTAGAAAATCTGCTTCCTTTAAAAATAGGAAAACTTGTTTCCTATTTAAGGATGTAGGGATACAAGCTCGTTTTTTCCTGCCTTTGTCTTGTATGGAGGAAAATGTTTCTACTTTTTCCTAGAAGAAATAAGGAAGCCTTTTCTCCTTGCTGCTTGTGGCCGACTCTTTCTAGAACTGTCATTCGTGTTTGGTTATGTTTTTATTCCATAAAACATAGGAAACACAGGAAAATTGTCTTTTTTGCCCCTTCCCGTGGGACAAAATTGCACTGATTTAAAGAAACGATTTTGCCAATGATATTCCAAGACTGGCATGAGCCATAATTTGTTTGCAGGATTATTAGATTGATAACTACGATGCCCACCTTTTGGGAAGAATTCCAGGATATAATACTGTAATACTAATAATATTAATAGTCTGGCTCATTTTCTAAGGAGGCCGAAACTAGATTTGACACAATTCAGGCTAGTTTTGTAGAAAATAAGGATGATTTGTTAGAAGGGATTACTGGTAGAAGCGGCCATGATTTTGATTAATCTCTTTACAACTGGTACAGTTTCTGTACCAACAAGATTTTTGGGGCAACATTTAAAAAAAATGGGATGAAGCAAAGGATTCTTACTTTCATAGCACGTTTGTCTCCAAGGATGCCCACATCTCAACAAGTCACCTTGGCCTCCTGCAGAAATGAGTTCAGGATCAGAAGAAACCCTATGAAAAGCAAAACAACTTGTAAGAAATTAAGGGAGACCCATGAGGAAGAAGAGGAGGAGGAGGAGGAAGAGGAGGAGGAGGAGGAGGAGGAGGAGGAGGAGGAAGAAGAAGAAGAAGAAGAAGAAGAAGAAGAAGAAGAAGAAGAAGAAGAAGAAGAAGAAGAAGAAGAAGAAGAAGAAGAAGAAGAAGAAGAAGAAGAAGAAGAAGAAGAAGTAGTAGTAGTAGTGGAGGAGGAGGAGGAGGAGGAGAAAGAAGAAAAAGAAGTAGTAGTAGTAGTAGTAGTAGTAGTAGTAGTAGTAGTATTAGTAGCAGTAGTAGTAGTAGTAGTAGTTATAAAGGCAATTTATGCCCTCCCCATCACCTGCATTCAGAATAACCTGAATCAGGATTGCACAAAAATGGAATTATGTGTAAATGAGGAGTTAATCCCATTTCTTTCTTCTCAAGGTGGGGTTCTCCCGCAGGGGTCTTCAAGGACCATTTTTTCCCAGGGTCTTCTTATCCCACATGGTTCAGGGGTTGGGTGGCTAGTAGCCCCCTTTTCTGCAACCCCAATCCCCATTTGCCCCACAAAACCCATTTCAACACATTCTTCTACCACTCCATGTCAACTTCAGATCTTCGGTTCTTTTGAAACAAGGGATGGAAACTAATCAAGGAGAGAAGGAATCTGAAATCAAGGAGAAACTTCCTGACAGTGAGGACAATTAACCAGTGGAACAGCTTGCCCCCCCCAGAAATCGTGGGCGCTCCATCACTGGAGGTTTTCAAAGAAAAGACTTGACTGAAAGGGTATAGGTTCTCCTGCTTAAGGGGGGAGCTGGACTAGAAGACCTCCAAGATCCCTTCCAGCTGATTGATTGATTGAAATGTCCCTCTCCCCAAATAAATATATTTGTTTTTAAAAAGGATAGTGGATTTTCAGTTCAGCTTTTTAAAAGCCCCTCTCTCCTTTAAAACAACACGCTTCTTCACCACCTTGCTGGTTTTTTTCCAAAACGAGGTCTATTATTTATGCCAATTTTACATTCGGAGCGTAGAATCAGGCCGGACAGAGCCCCAGAGGACTTTGTGCAGAAAGCTATTGAGGGAAGGATCCGTGATCTGGCTGGGCTGATTACATCTATTAATTGTTTAATAATTGATCGTTTGATTATTATTTAATGACAAAGGTTGCAAATGAAAGGAGAGGAATATGTTTGGGCGGTTGCCACTGTGTGTAAAACGTGGCACCAGGCAGTGCTGTCTGTTGTGTGTGCCTGTGTGTGTGTGGTTTTTTTTGGGGGGGAGGGGGTGTCACTTTGCAGAGGAATCAGCAAAGCTCGTTTTGATTATATATTTCAAATGGGCATAGCTTGCCTTTTTTTTCACCACCCCGCCCCAGCCGGTGTTTTAGTTCTATTGGACTACAATTCCCATCTTCCTACGGGCATACTTCTGAGTAAACCTACCTGGAATTTGGGGGGTGGGGAGGGAGAGAAGCAAATGTTTTTGTGTGTGCAAATTTATTAGGAGAGGGTCTCATGAAAGTGACGGGAAGTTATTCCTGAGTAAACAGCAGTGGGATTTTTTTGACATGAATAATTACGCATGGTAGATCCACAGAAGCTGGTGGACACCCCTAACCCTGTTTCTGTAAAAAATATTTTCCTTCCTTCCTTCCTTCCTTCCTTCCTTCCTTCCTTCCTTCCTTCCTTCTCTCTGCCTTCCTTCCTTCCTTCAATTTTCCTCTTCCTTTCTTTTAAATGTGTTAACTTTCTCATCTATTCTCTACATCTTCCTTTTCTCCTACCCTTCCTTACCACTCTTCATTCCTGCTCTATCTTCTCTTTCAGTTTTTCTTTATTTTATCCTGTCATTTCCTTTCCCTTTCTCTCTTTTTCTCTTTCTTCCCTTCCTTTGCCCTTCTCTTTTCTTCCCCTTCTTTATCTATTTACCAGCTTCCTCTCCCGTCCCTTCCCTTTTCTCACTCTTTTCTTTTTCTTTCCCTTTCTATTTTTTTCCTTTCCTTTCATCCCCTTTTCTTTCCTTTCCTTCCTACTCTCTTCCTTTCCTTTCCCTCCCACTCTTCCTTTCCTTTCCTCTCCTCTCCTTTCCTTCCCTTCTCCCCATCCTTCCCTTCCTTTCCCTTTCCTTCCCTCCTTTCCTTCCTATCTCTCCCTTTCCTTTCTCTCTCTCTCTTTTCTTTCTTCTCTCCTTCCCCACCACCCTTTCCTGTCCCTTCCTTTCCTTTCCTGCCCTTCTCTTCCTCTTCCCTTCCCCAACCGGGCGACCCTCTTCCCTTCTCCCCTCCGCGCCCCCCCCCCAAAGCGCCGGGACCCATTGTCTCCCTTTCTCTCCCGGCCCCAGTGAAGGAAGAAGGCGACCGGGAGATCTCCAGCTCCCGAGAAAGCCCTCCGGTGCGGCTGAAGAAGCCGCGCAAGGCGCGCACCGCCTTCACCGATCACCAGCTGGCGCAGCTGGAGCGCAGCTTCGAGAGGCAGAAATATCTCAGCGTCCAGGATAGGATGGAGCTGGCCGCCTCCCTCAACCTCACCGACACCCAAGTGAAAACGTGGTACCAGAACAGAAGGTAAGCGAGGAAGAGAGGCGGCGGGGAGGCGAGAAACGGGAAGGGAGAGGGAGACAGCACAGAGCCGCAAAATTTGTATCTGGCTTGGTTGAATTTGGATCCAGCCGCTCCTGAATTCTCCGCCAGATCTCAAATATCCAGGCTTCTTTTGAGAAACGGGATTGGACAAAAGCCTGTTCCAAACAATGAAAAAGAAAAAAGAAAAGAAAGACAAAGAAAAAAGTCGCAATTGCGAACTTGGCGTCAAGGTGGCTGTTTGTGGACCCAAAAAAGAAGCTGGTGTGGACGAGTGTAGTTAGAGATTTAGTTAGAGAGCATCTTCAACTTAATCCGTGAATTTAATTCCTTGGTTCCTTCTCCCCTTCCATTCCCCCCCCCCCCTTCTATTTTATCTTTGGTAGAAAACTCTTTATGTTCTTAATCTACGGGTTTGAATCCGGCTCCCCTTCCTTTTATTCTTTCCTTCCACCCGGGTTCTGTTAACCTGGTTACTCCAGCCAATTTGCTGGCTGGTTCCTGTTGGACTGTGGTGTGTGAACCTTGGTAGGGCGAAGTTGGAAGTTGGCTTGGTTTTGGGGAGGGAAGAAAATGTCTTATCGCCTGCAAATTTTAGGAAAAGTCAGGAGAGGTCATTGTGGTTAGAGGTGTATGTCAAGAATAATTGACATTTGTGCCGTTTCCCACAATATAATTTTTTTTGTGGCTGTGCTGGGAATGCAGTTTTAAAATGATTTTGAAACTGGCCCTGTTGTTTTAAAACTCTACCGCGTTCAGTTGTAACTGTAGATATTTTGAATTGATAGCTTGAATTCAATGCGGCTTGCTTCTGTGTAGACATGTAGAACTTTGTGTTTTGGGTGGTTTCTCTCTGTGCCAAGGATTTATTTTTATTTAAATGATTTTAGGATGTTAAATTGCCGAAGTCACTTAATCTCCAGGCCCTGCTTAAAAGACAAATGAAATCACTGCAGAGTGAAAATAAACACTGTCCAGCTCCAATGGTGCAGAAATGTTTTGAAAAAGGTCGAATCCACCTGCAGGTCCTTCAGGTTCTTTTGCAAGCTTTGAGATTACACTGCACTCTTGACATTGAAGCCAGTTTCTGGATTACACAGGGCTCCTATCTGGATCCTGGAAAAAAAGACACTTGATTGTGTGAAAGCCACAATCTGGCTGTCACACATGTCTGCACAGAGCGGACTTGGTGAGGAGGACAAGATTTTTAAATCAACTCAAGAGATTCTGCTGAGTTTAGATTTTGATTAGTTTTGACATTGATTGGTGTCCATCTTGGCTATTTTTTTTATCTCAATTCATTTTGAACTTGGTTAAATGGACCTTGATTAGTTTGGGTTTTAATTACTTTTGACTTGGATTGGTTTTTGATTTGGGCTATTTTTTTAAAATCTTGATTAGTTTTGATGTTGGTTAGATTGACCTTGATCGGTTGAGATTTTGCTTAGTTTCTAATCACCCGTAGTTTTGATCATGGTTGTTATTATCAGGCCTGGCAGGAATCTGATGTGTGAATGCAGCTAGCCACTTTGGTTAATGTACGGTTTTGTAATCTGGCGTTGCTTCATGCTGGTCTTCTAGGGAACCAGAAAACAAAGGCCGCACAATATGTTTAATAGTTTGCATAGCAGCACCACAATCGCAACAAGGGGAATTGGACATCCCGTTACAAAGCCACTGCCATACCCCCGTAGAAGTGTTGTGTATAATTACGTGGATTGTGTGTATATGTTTACTTCTCTTCTTGCATGTTCTCATCATAATGCAGTAATGCAGGCTGACTCTGCCCACAGCCTGGAATTCGATCTTGACCGGCTTAAGGTTGACTCAGCCTTCCACCCTTCCGAGGTCGGTAAAACGAGGACCCCAGATTGTTGGGGGGCCAGATGCCGACTCTGTAAACCGCTTAGAGAGGGCTGTAAAGCACTGTGGAGCGGTATACAAGTCTAAGTGCTATTGCTTATTCTATCATACGCTAAATAATAATAAATAAGTGTTTTGCGCTGACTTAGGATAAAGGGTCAATAACCCAATTAAATTAAGCACGTCTTAAATTCATCTAGTCTGTTTCTCTGAAGCTTCCAGAAGAGCTATGCATTTGGATGACGTGAAAGTCTAATTACAGGCAATCCTCAACTTACAACAGTTCGTTCAGAGTTACAACAGCACTGGAAAAAAATCAGTTATGACCGTATTTCACACTTACGACCTTTATGAGCCTCCCCAGGGTCATGTGATCAAAGTTCAGACACTTGGCAACTGACTCATATTTACGTCCCGGGGTCACGCGATCCCCTTTGGCGACGTTCAGACAGGCAAAATCAAAGGGGAAGCTGGACTCACTTAACAACCGTGTCACTCACTTAACAACTGCAGTGATTCGCTTAACGGCTCCAGCACGAAAGGTCGCAAAATGAGGCAAAATTCACTTAACGAATGTCTCGCTTAGCGACAGAAATTTTGGGCTCAGTTGTGGTCATAAGGACTACCTGTACTGTTATCAATAAGAATAAAAAATTATATATATAATGGATAGGTAGGTAGGTAGGTATAGAGATAGATAGATAGATAGATAGATAGATAGATAGATAGATAGATAGATAGATAGATAGATAG